GACGAGCTGCAAAACCCCCGGGGAACGGGGACACGATGAGCTGCCAACCCCCCCGGGGAACGGGGACAGGACAAGCTGCCAAACCCCCGGGGAACGGGGACAGGACGAGCTGCCAAACCCCCGGGGAACGGGGACACGACAACCCCCCCGGGGAACCTAAACGTTGTTTTTTTCCCCAAACATCTTCCTCTGTTCTGTAATCGGAGCGGCTTTGCACACAGTGGAGACAAAACAGTCACGTATTCTGCAGAAGAGAGTGGCTTCGTTAACCGAAACGACACGTAGGGTCGTTGGAAAGGAGGGCCCTTCTGCCGTAGAGGATTCCCTGTCCTGCAGCCCGGCCGCTGCCAGCGCTCCCCTTGGGCTTTCCTTCAGCCGTGTCCCAAACCCGTGGGTCTCTCTAGCTGGCGAGCTCCTCTCCAGCCTCTACTTTTTAAGGCTGTTTGCCTCGCGATGGGGAGCCCCGTCGGTCCCGTGCCCGCTCAGCCAGCAGCGGGGCCCTCGTGCTGTCGTGGGCAACGCAGGCGTCCTGGGGCTGTTCGCGCCGGCACCTCGGGCTCCCGTCCGGTGAGAGCCTCTCGGTAGAGAAGCAGAGCCCGTGCTCCGCGCCGCTGGGAGGCAAGGCCAGGTCGCACCGGCTTTGCACGGGTAGGGCAGTGAGCCAGCTTTCCAAAAACCACACATTTCCTCCAAAAGTGTCGCTGGGAGCTGCAGGGCTGCGCCGTGGGTGAGTGCTGGAGCAGGCAGGCTGGGCGATGTATAGCCAATATATTTTGCATATGTATACATATTGCACATATGCAGCGATTCTCCTGCTGGTTAACAAGAAATGCCTCTGCTCGCAGCTGCTGATGGAAGATACACAAGAGATGATGATGATGATGATTACTATGGCAGTGGGGCTGGCTGTCACCCCCCCCGCTCCTGGCGTGCGGGTCTGTGCATCGGACGCACAGCAGAGAGCAAGCAGAACACCTCAGCGTGCAGTTTCCAGCGTCCGCTGGAGAAGCAAAGCCGCCGCC